CATTAGGAAACACGGCTGGGCCCCAGAGCCGGCCCAGAAGATCTTTTTGTACATAATTATGTTTCCGCAGTGGGCAAAGCTACCATTCCCGTCGCTACGTTCCTGGGCAAAAATACCGTCGTACTGCGACCAGCGGTTGTTTCACATTCCCTGCCACCTTGTGCTGCACTACGTCCTGGACCTGTTCTTCCTCCCCCCAGCCGTCTTCATCGCGAAGGGTTGCTGGAACCGTCTTCTTCTACAGGCCATGCTTGGGGTAGGTCCCGGTCTGCTTGTCACCCTTGTTGCCCCGGTCGATTGGGCACGTGGAATGTGGAAGGCTTTCGCGGCGGTTCGATCATCAAAATAGACGAGCTTATTGACATCATGCGCGTGCGAGACTTGAATACTCTTTGCTTGCAGGAAACGCATTTGCATGGTTCCGAGTGCAATTCTCGAGATGGTTACACTATAGTTTTGTTGGGCGAACTGGGCTTTTAAGTGCGATCGCACGCCAGAGTGGGTTTCATAGTGGCTCCACATATTTTGAACAGCATCGTCGATTTCAAAGCGTGCACCTCCAGAGTGGCTTCATTGAGAATCAAGGCGTAGCCGGCATGCTGACCCTTCTCTCGGTGCATGCTCCTCACAATCGTCGTCCTTATGCGGAGCGTCAGTCTTTCTACGCGGACCTACAGACGCAGGTTCGGGCGACCACCGCACACATCACAACGTACATCATGGGAGACTTAAACGCTAGACTCCTGCGGGTCGGAGCCGGAGAACATAACATTATTAGACCTCGCGTGTTTGAGTGCCGCGATTTTGAGGATACGTCAGTGCCAGTCGCTGTTTCAAACAGGCAGCTCTTGATGGAAATGTGTGCGTCCTACGACCTCCAGGTGACGATTACTTACCACGACCATCCAAACAGCATGGAGATCTCGTTCAGGAATCTCGGCGACACTCTCACAGACGATGTCGTATCTGGACATAAGTTCGCTCAGCTTGACCACGTGTTTTGCCATCGCAACGTTCTTCACCGTGAAGGATATCTGCACAAGCCGGCGGGACATTCTGAACGCACATCATTACTTCGCCATTTTGGAATCAAATTTAGCATTCAAATAAACACTTCATGGACAAGTCGAGCCTCAGAGATCCGTACACAAAAGATATGTTATATCAGCATTTGTAGGAGCCGTCGGCAGTTCAATGTATAATGAAATTGACTCGGCTGATGTTGCGAACAATTGGATTCGACATGGTTTCGAAAAATGCGGCCGAAGTGGTGCCCAAACGAGAAGTGGGCCCCAAGCAGGCGTGGACTAGCCAGCGCACGCTCAACGTGATCGAACAATGCAAGCAAGCACGTCAACCGGCGACCACAATGCGGAAAAACAGTTCCATCGAATGCTACGGAAATCAGGGGCACAAGATCGCAGAGACTGGCCGGATTCCTTGATGCAAAGGGGAGTGCGGGAAGCAGCTCGACATCTCAAAGACCCACAAGTATCAAGCACGGGTCGATGCAGCGTCCTGATGGAGCCCTTACAGACACAGCTGAAGGAGCAGATTTGTTGGCCGACTACTTCGAAGGCGGTCAATGGCAAGAGCGTTTCCCAGGAAACACTCTGGAGCCATGCCCGCCCCTAGGCAATCAGCTGCCTATCAACACGGGTCCGTTTATCATGGGAGAACTCGTCGAAGCGCTTCGCCGGCTACGACGTAGCCGACGACCTGATGGGTTCCGCCTGATTTCTGGAGAACGTTGGGGTCGGACCCAGGAGCTTCTGCAATTATGCTTCGTTGATGCCAAAAGTGTTAGGAGCAAAAATCCATGCCTGCATCTTGGAGGTGTGCGAACGTAGTTCTGCTATTCAAGAATGGGCAAATCACTTTTCCACACGACTACAGACACATTTCTTTAGTACACATTGGATATAAGCTTCTTGCGTCCATGTTGCACCAGCGTCTGCTTCGAGGTGGAACTGAATTCAGAACGCGGGGGTCACAATTTGGTTTTCGCCTTCGGCGTGGGACACCCAACGCTCTCATGCTGGTGCGGCGTATAGTTGACGCGGCATACGCCAACAATAATGGTGGCCTTATTTTGTTGATGTTGGATTGGGCGAAGGGCTTTGACAGACTGAATCCATCAAGTATGCGCGACGCTCTACAACGCTTTGGGCTTCCATCGGACATGGTAGTTGTGATAGAAGCAGTTTGCGCCGAACGCTACTTCGCGCTTGTGGACCACGCGGGAAAGTCCACAGAAAGACAGCAGCAGGCCGGCATCGCGCAGGAATGTCCTCTTTCCCCATACTTGTTTATTGCAATGCAGTCGGTCATGTTGCACGACCCCATTGAGACGAACGATTTTGAGGCTGAACCCGCCTACGTGGTAAAGCGAGACATTACATGCAGACGATACGTTGCTGGCATGGCAGAGCAAGACGAATGTCCAGAGCATGCTGAATGCTATTGTGGCGGAGGGGCGAGAATACGGTCTCGAGCTTAACTGGAACAAATCACTCCAAATTCAGTTTGCCGCCAATGACTTGGTTGTCTGGCCTGATGGTGGTCCTACCAAATCCGTCCAGGAAGCGGTCTAACTGGGAGGGATGACCAGTTGCGACGGTAAAACAACTCTGGAAATCACCCGCCGCCTGGGGGAAGCGCAGGGCATCTTCAACAAGTTGGCAAAGATATGGTCGCGCACCGCGGTTGGCTGGAAACGAAAATTCAAATTGTACGAAAGCGTTGTTTTAAGCAAACTGTTGTAGCCACTTGACTCTTGGTGGCTGTTAGAGACAGATAAATGCAGGCTCGACGAATTTCATTGCCACTGCCTGCGGCGCTTCTTGGGCATACCGCGCTCGTATCTGTCGCGCGCGAGTAACGCAGATGTCATGGACAGAGCTAGCACCAAACCTTTTTTTTCCCATATTCTGCTTGGAAGGCAACAACAGTTGTGCCTCAAAATCGCAACAAGTGGTCCTTCTTCTTTGGTATTGATGGTGCTCCCAAGAACTGGATGGTGCACCGGAGGCGCGGCCGACCCTGGCAGCAGTGGGCTACCGAAGTGTAGAAAACAGCGCAGCATATCAGAAATATCCTTGTTTTGTCATCCACCTCCTCTCCCTCTTCTGTCGCGCTTTTCGTATTTTCCGAAGAATTGCCAATCGCGCGCTCTTCTGCCCACGCGCCCCTCCGGATGCTCGGCTTAGTGGTGGTGGTGGTGGTGGTGGCGGGGGCGATCGCCACTCGTCTTGGGGGTCTCTTAGCTATGGTCGAGGTGCCAGCGCGTATCGCAAAACAGTTCGTTCGTTTGTCAAAGGGCCCATTCCGATGCAGTTGCGAGTGGCACAGGAAGTGGCCCCTTTCTCCTGGGCAGTGCGCCGCGAAAGCGTGGGCGCATGCGATACCCTGCTGATGAGGCCTTCGGTGGCTCTCCCTGCTGGGCCACAAAGCGTGCGAGTTGCGTGCCAGAATGGTCGGGGAGATGTCGTGCGATGTAAAGCAACGTGTGAAGGGGTGTGCTAGAGTCGGCGCGGGGGCGCTATGCGGCACCTTGCCGCCGAGGTTTTCGGTGGAGCTCTCTATGGAACCACGGAGCGTGTGAAGGGTGTGCCGGGGGCGCTATGCGCCCACACCTTCTGGAGGCTTCAAGGCGTGTGATGGGTGCATTGGAGTAGTCGGGGGTGCGCTACGCGGTAACACCCCCCCTTAGGATCTCCCTATGAGGCCAGGAAGTGTGTGAGGGATGCGCCGACATGGTCGGGGGGACCGCATGCAAAACCACCCCATGGGGGCTTCGGTGGATCTCCCTATGTGGCCAGGAAGTGGGTGAGGGATGCGCCGACATGGACGTGGGGATCGCACGCAAAACCACCCCCTGAGGGCTTCGGTGAAGCTCCATATGGGGCCACGATGCGTGTGAGGGGTGTGCCGGCATGGTCGGCGGGACCGCATTCAACACTGCCGCCTTGGGGCTTCGGTGAAGTTCCCCATGGGGCCACGAAGCGTGTGAAGGGTGTGCCGACCTGGTCGGGGGGGTCGCGTGCACCACCACCCCCTTGGGGGGCTTCGCTGGGGTCCCCCATGGCGCCACGCAGCGTGCAGGGGGGGGGGCCGAAAGGGTCGGGGGGACCGCCGCCCCCCCCGGCCTTCGGTGGAGCTTCCCGTGGGCCCACGGTGCGTGTGCTGGGTGTGCCGGCATGGTCGGGGGGGCAGTATGCAACACCGCTGCGGTGGAATCCCCTAAAGGACCACGGAACGTCGGATGGTGTGTGCCGACTTTGTCGGGGGGGCCACGCGCAACATAACCCCCTGGGGGTCTTCGTTGGGGCTCCCGTGGGGCCCATCATCGTGTGAGGGGTGTGCCAGCATGGTTCTTGGGGACCGCACGAGGGAGCAAGTCCTGGGGGCGAGGGCGGAGCTCCCTGTGGGGCCACGAAGCGTGTGATGGAGGGGGGGGCCAATTCGGGCATGCGGAGGGCAGAGGCTTGGGGGGGAGGGCGGGGAGGCGGGAGGAAGGAGGACGTGGGGCGCTGTCTTGTCAAAGGGGGACTCGACACCACAGGATGGAGGGGAGAAACATCACAAACACGAACTTTTTGGAGCTCCGCGGGGATTTCGGTGGAGCTCCGCCGGGATTTCTCGGATCGGCGCTGCGCCCCCCCTGCGGGCACCTCTGGCGCCGCCTCTGGCGCGCTCCGCGCGCCAGGGAGGGGGGTCGAGCGCCAACAGTTTTGTGCCTGTGCAGATCGCCTTCCTCTAGCGCTGGCCTGCAAGGCAAGATGCTTGCGATGGTGGTGAAGGCTTGCGGGGGGAGCCGATGTGGGGTCCCTCCTGGTGTGCTGGGCAGGCAGTCCCAGAGCCTGGCTCGCACGAGCCTGGAAGTTCGAGTCACGACGTTTGCTGCCCAGCTCGCGCGCTCCCTCTTCCACACGGTTGCCGCCATCCTCTTTCCTTCTCCCTCTCCTCCCCGTCCTCTTGCATTGTCTCTCCCCGCAGAGGTCGACGTGGACAAGTCTGGGGACTTCTGCCGCGTACGAGTCATGGGCCCTCGCGAGTCCGTGGAGAAAGCGAAGAGGCCCCTGCTTCCGAGAGCCCACAGATGCTGGACGGCACGTGGCGCCGATTGAGTCTTACCGTGATGTCTCTGGCGACGGCCGTGCCGGTCGTAGTAGTTGCTGAAGCGGAGGCGGTGGCAGTTTCGAGATAGGGTTCGTCGTCGCGGCGATGCGTGCCATTGTGGTGACTAGGACGGTGATCGTGCAAGGCGGCGGCGGCGTCGATGGTTGTGACAGCAAGGTTGGTCACGCGATTAGGCTAGGGGCCATGACGACGAGGACGAAGAGCAGGACGCCGATGGAGGTGTCGCGTACGCAGGACAAACGCGAGGCCCAGGGAGGCTCCGGGAGCCCCTGGAGCAAGGAAGGATTCCCTTGGCGGCGCACATCAAGAAACCACATGCTATTCGCCAGGGTTCTCTGGGTTTCTTCGCTCCGTACGCTGTGCGATGACTTTCCACGGCCATTAGCGACATTGCGCGTTCAGGGTGCTCTGGGTTTCCCCCAGTTGCATTTCGCGCGCGGGTTTTCCAGGGTTGAGTTTCTTGCGAGGGTTTCGTGCTGGGGTTAGATGAATGCTCCTCCGGATTATGAGGGGATGCGCACACAATGCTTGAACACATCTGCATTGGCATCGTTGTTTCTGATCCGCGCTCTGTTTGCACTTGGCTCGGGATGCGGCTGACACGCGCACGAGCTACAGAGAAGCCCCCGCTCCTGCTGAGAAGTTATGTGAGCCTCCTCCGACGACAGCCACGGCTTGTCAGAAGGTTGGGGGAGGCTTCTGAGAAGCCCCGCCGCCTTCTGAGAAGACCTGCCCCCTCTCACTTCTCCCCTAGGCTCGCCGCCGAATATGTCTATGATCCGCCCTTCCGGCCCAAAGAGGCGTCCAAGAGGGCCCAAGAGGGCTCCACCAGGGCGCCACGACGGCCCCGGGCCGCTCCAGGAGGCTCTCAGGACGGCCCACTCGGCCTCCAAGACGATGCAGTAGACTCCAAGAGGCTTACAAGAGGCTCTCACAGATGCCTCTCACAGAAGCTTCCAATGGCGCCAAGAGACGCCCCAGACAGCACCAAATTATCAGCATCCTGTCGGCTTCGGTATATGTTGAGCATGCTCGACTTTTCGGCCAGGCATGTCCGCAGGAGGCCTTCCGAGGGTTCCAAGACGGCCCAAGAGGGCTCCAATAACGTTCCATGCCTGCAAAAAGCCCACCAAAGTGCCAAAGGGGAGCTCCGTAGGGGTCCAGGACGGCCCATGAGAGAGCCCAGGACGGCCCAGCAGCGCGCCAAGATGACACAGTAGGGCCCACAACCAGGTCCAGCACGGCCCGAGAGGGCCCAAGAGGCACCCAAGAGGCTCCCAGGATACCCAAGGAGGCCTTAGAAAACCTTCGAAAAGCCTCCAGGATAACTCCAAGAGACCTGCAGGAGAGCCCCACATGGTTCCAGAAGGGCTCATAAGTCCTCAAGACTGCCCAGCGGACCCCAGGAGCCCAGAAGGGATATACGATGCCCACCAAGAAAGGCATGAATACGCGTAAAGGGAGGCCCACGCACTCACAAGCAACAGCACGCACTCACAAGCAAAAGCAGTCATCAGCATGCAGCAGTAAGTAACACCACGCAGCAGCAATCAGCCTCGAACGGTACCAAACAGCAGAAACATCAGCAAGCCGCTCAAGCAGCAGAGCTTCCCGTTGTTTACGAATCAATCAGGCTTGATCGTGGATCTGGTAGTGAGGGTCCTCTTATGTTCTATCAGGGATCGTGGCCTTATTAGCATGGCTGCCAATCATTATGCCAGGGATCGTTTCCCTGCAAGCACGTGTACATGTTACAAACTGTCATGGCCCTGTGAGCGAACGATGTGCTCCCGGGCGCCCATCGGCTAGTATTGCAAAACCTGGGGTGGTAGCACGGCGACTGGGGGGCCAGACGGCCTTGATGTTGCACAGTCCGGGAGTGGAGCAGCGCAGATTTGGGTACAGGTGGCGGGGCTTCGACGAAGCCCCCTCGCCTTCTGAGAAGCCCTCTGGGGCTTCGACGAAGCTTCGCTTCGGGGACGGCTCAGAGAGCTTTTCCGAAGCCCTCTGGCCTTCTGAGAAGCCCTCTGCGCAGGCCCGCTCCCTCTGCCTTCCCCAGGGGCGCGCCGCCGACGAGTAGCTGCCGCGCTGCCGAGAGCGCCGCTGGGGGCCGTGCCCCGCCTGGCCGGCCCACCCCGGCGGCGGCGGCCCCCCAGGGGGACGAGGAGGAGGAGGAGGAGGAGAAGGGAGGAGGAGGAGGAGGAGGAGGAGGAGGAGGAGGAGGAGGAGGGAGGAGAGGAGGAGGAGGAGGGGAGGAGGAGGAGGAGGAGGAGGAGGAGGAGGAGGAGGAGGGAGGAGGAGAGAGGAGGAGGAGGAGGGAGGAGGAGGAGGAGGAGGAGGAGGAGGAGGAGCGCCCCCCCGCCCGCGCACCCCTGCAGGCTCATCGCGGCCATCATGGACCCGCCCTCGGCAGCCCCGGCGGTGGGGCAGGGGCAGGCCACCCCTGGCTTCTTCATGCAGCTCCCGCGGAACGCCGTCGGGCGCCTCATCGGCGCGGGCGGCGCCCGCATCACGGAGCTGCAGGCCGCGGTGCCCCCCTGGCGGAGGGGCGCGGGTTTTTTTCGAGGGGGAGCTTCGGATTTCGTGCGCGCGTGGGTACGTCATGCATGTCAGGCAGAGCTACCGCGCACTCCGCGCCGTCGCGCCTTTAGAAGCCAGTGCTGCAGCGCCGTGGTAACACTGCGCGGCTGGTCCGTGGCATGGTTGTTGCATTGCGTGTCCGTGGCGTGGAGAACGTGGCGCTTTTGCACGCGCGCGATGCAGCTGTGCATGCGCATGGACTTGAGGGCCCAGAACCGGAGGGCGTCCGAAGGCCTTAGGGCCCCTTGCGGGCTTGCTAGGTGTCTGCTGAGGGTCTTGGGTCTGTTTTTGCGAGCCTCGGGGCAATCTCGGAGCCATTTTGGGATGGTCTTGGCTGGCTGTCCTGAGGATGTCTCCTGGCATCGCTCGGACGTGTGCATTTTTTCTCTGCGAGGACCATCGAGGAGCATCCTTGATCATTTGGCGAAAAAACCACGCACGAAACCGAAACAAAAACACAGGGAATGGACGTCCGAGCGATGGCCAGGTCCTGAGGATGTCTTGGGTCGGTCTTGGGGGCCTCCGGGAGAGCTCTGTGGCCCCCGGGAGGCCGTCGGGGTCGGCCCGACGTCCTCTTGAAGTGAAGGCCTTCTCGGGCCCTCATGGACTCCTCCTCCTCCTCCTCCTCCTCCGCCTCCTCCTCCTCCTCCCTTCTCCTCCTCCTGCTCCTCCTCCTGCTCATCCTCCTACTCCTCCCTCCTCCTCCTCCTCCTCCTCCTCCTCCTTCTCCTCCTCCTCCTCCTCTTCCTCCTCCAGGGTCGGCCTTGAAGCAGGGACGGAAGACTCATGAGGAGCTCTCTTCCCATGGGCCTGCTGGCGGGCTTCTGAGGAGCCTCGTGGGGACTTGTTGGGGACCCGTGACTCTGCATCCACGGCCTCTTCCTCCAACGGGAGCGAGGTCAATGAAGAAGAGAAGTTGAGGAATATGAGGACAGGCAGGCGGAGGATGAGGAGGATGAGGAACAGGAGTACGAGGAAGAGAAAGAGGAGGAGGACCAGAAGGATGAGGACAGGAGGAGGAATTACTTCAGCAGCAGAAACTGCGGAATTGTGTGTTCCAAGAGAGCCGATAATAATGGAACTGCTGAGAGGTGCTTAGAAGCTGGGCCTCTGGCATGTCTGTTGCTCGTCTGTCTACCATCACATTTTGCCGTCTCGCCTGCTGGCTGTGTGGTATTCTCTTCTCACTCCACTCCTTCCTTTCAATGCCACGGCTGGAGGGAGGGTAGCCCATACGCAGGAGAAGAGTGCTTGCAAGATCGACGTTGACCGGTCGACCGAACCGCCTACGGTGAGGTTCAGTGGGACACCGGAGTCCATTGAAGTTGAACGGACCTTAGCAGCATCCGGGCACGACCCGTCAATGATCGCGGCTCGTCTTCCTAAGGTATTCACTATTGCAGAGGGGGCCCGTAGAGTGGTGTAAGAGGGGGGTGATTTCGCTATAGTCGCAAGTACGTTGCCTTGACGTTTTTTGGTCCGACGCCAGGAGATGTATCCCATGAGCGAAGGTGCACGGCTACGCCTGGGGCACGAGGAGATGAACATCGATGAGCCTTGATGTAGTAGTTGCTGAGATGTCCCGTAATGCTGGCTGCATTGCAGGCTGGTCGCGGCGGCCGAGGCAGAGCTCTAGGGTGCTAGCCGTTACTGACAAGGTGAATAAGGATGAGGATGACAATGACGACGACGGTGAAAAGGGATGACGAATGCCACGATGATGGCGATACAGTCGAGCATCTGGCTAAGACACATCGTCCCGAAAAGCTGGGTCAGCGTTTCTTCATCAGCTTGCCGTAAAGCTGGCCCAGTTTGAGCACTTTAGCCCTCCAGCATTAAAACCAGAAATTTGCCCAGGTTTGCTTTAAGGCATAGTTCGCCAGCGCGGACCCCAAACAGAGTGGTTCTAGCAACCAATGTTGTGCAATCTATGCGGCGCAACATGTGCTGTGCAATGCATACTGTGCAGTCTAGGTGATGCAGTCAATCTGTGTGGTGAAATCAATGTTGTGGAATCTATGTTGCGCAGTACAGTTGGTGCAATCTACACCGCGCAATGCTATGCAATCAGTGCAAAGCGGTACACAGCGATACAAGACAATGCAAAGCAATGCAAATCAGAGCAAAACAAAGCAGAGCAATGCAAAGCACGGCATAGTAAAGCAATGCATTGCAATGCAATGCTAAGCACGGCAACCCAACGCAATGCAACGCGTACCATTGAATTTCATGTGGCATAGCAATGCCAAGCAATGTGCAGCAATGCAGGCCCATACGACGGGCGTTGACGGGGCGGTGACGGCGACAGTATAGCCGCTATACCGACCCCCAGGCCCAGGCGACGGGCGGCGACGAGGCGGCGACGGGGCGTCGACGGCGACTACATAGTCGACAAACCGACACCCGCGCCTCCTAGCTGCTTTCTACAGAAGTGAGAACCCTCAGGTGCAGGCACTCTTTGGACCACGATGCGGCATAATCGTATGCAACCTGCACTACGAAAAGGGGGACCGTTAAGTCCGAGGGGGGAGGGTGATCTCATTACCCTTTTGGAGCGGATAATTGATGGGCGGCGGTGGAGCGGCGACGGGACGGCGACGGCGACAACATAGCCGCCAGAGCGTCACCCAGGCCCAGACGACGGGCGGCGACAAGGCGGCGACGGGGAGGCGACGGCGACAACATAGTCGCCAGACCGCCATCGAGGCCCAGACGACGGACTGCTACGAGGCGGCGACGGGGCGGCGACGGCGACAACATAGCAGCCAAACCGCCACCCAGACACAGTTCCTTTGACCACAAGTTGGACGCCGTAAGCGCAAACACTGCTTGGGGAATAGGACATGTTAGTCAGCGTGGACCCGCAACAGTAAGTTCCTAGCAGTCTATGATGTGCAACTGGTGTGGAGAAATCGCTGACGTAACACCTATATGGTGCAATCTCTGCGCCTTAACTTATGTGGTGCAACCTATGTGGTGCGATCGATGTTGTGCAACCTATGTGGTGCAATTAATTTCTGCTCGCAGTGAGTTGTCCATTCCACTGCTCGCGCAAACATCCCACCCACCCACCCGCGACTTGGTTTGCAACACCTCTTAAGACTCTGACGGTGGGTACCACATGGCACTTGGCAACGACACCGACGCCGACGACGACAGCGACAACGACGCCGACGACGCCGCCGACAGCGACTACGACGACACCGACGACGTCTCCAACGACTTCGACGCCGCCGACAACGACGACGACGACGATGACACCGACGACGACGCCGACGCCGACGTCGACGACGATGACAACGACGACGACGACGCCGACGACGACGACACCGACGACGACGACGACGAAATCGACGACGACGACGACGTCGCCAACGAAGACAACGACGACGAGGGAGGAGGGAGGAGGACGACGGCGGCCACGACGACAACGACGAGGGAGGAGGGAGAACGGCGACGACGCGAACGACGAAGAAGGAGGGAGGACGGCGATGCCGACGACGACAACGACGAGGGAGGAGGGAAGACGACGCCGACGACGACGACGACGACGGCGACGAAAAAGGAGGGACACCGACGAAATGCCGACGAAGACGACGAGGGAGGAAGGATGACCACGGCGACAACGACGGAAACGACGACGACGCCAAGACGACGACGACGACAACGAGGAAAGACAGAGGACGACGACGGCGACGACGACGACGAGGGAGGAGGGAGGACGGCGACGACGACGACAACGCAAGAGCGCGCGCGCACGCTTTTGTTTAAAATCCGTGTTGCGGAACCCTTTGTTTTTGTATGTTTTTTGAACACTCGATTTTGAAATCCTTCCGAAACCGAAGGTTTTTGAAGGATTTCGGCATGCGCGCGCGACGACGCGCGCGCGCGCACGTCGTCCCGGTTTTTGCAGAGGATTCTCGCGACGACACGCGCGCAAGGGCGTCCGAAAGATTTCGACATGTGCGCGCGCGAAGCCCGTTTGGTAGTATTTCTTGAAAATCTGGGCAACCTAGGGTTTTCTAGATTTCGCAAGAGCGCGCGCGTAAGTTTTCTTAGCACGTCAGTGTTGCGAAACCTTGTGTTTGTGTATGTTTTGTTGTTGAAACTCGATTTTGAAATCCTTCCGAAAGCATTTGTTTTTGACGGATTTCGGCATGCGCGCGCGACGACGCGCGCGTGTGAACTTCGTCTCGTTTTTTTTGTTTTGCCAGGAATGTTTGAAAGCGGATGATTTTTGATAAACGAGAGTGCGCGCATAATGTTTTAGCAGAGGATGGCGGGGGGGAGTGATAGTGGTTTGGCTGGGGTAGTCTGAATTCATATTTCGGATGAGCGATGGGGCAGACTCATTTGTAAATTGCAATGCGAAAAGGTGTATCATTAATTCCGTGGTGGGGGGTGAAAGTCTATTTTTGTAGAAAGGAGAATTGATTTTTACAGACGGGCTGACACATCTCATGCTCTTGCAAACATCCCACTCACCCAGCCGCAACTGGGTTTGCAAAACCCATGCGGTGGCGATTGCGATGAGTGCTTGGCGTTGACTTGTGCATCTCTGCGGCCGCGCCGACCCAAGCCCGCGCGCGCAGCGGCCAGGCAGTTTGCCGCGACCGACGCGGCCGCGGTGGCGCTGACCGCTGCGCACATCCCAGCGAGCACTTCAGTGCGAGTCGGCGACTTGGGCGGGTGCGTTACCATGGCAACGCCGACAACGGTAGACACGATGATGATAGTAGCGATGCTGGTGACGATGTTGACAACGACGACGGCACGACCAGTGCGGGCGCCGATGCTGATCACGCCGACGACGATGCCGGCGTCCTCGCGTCGGTGATGAAGGCTTTGGAAGGAGTTCGATGTGCGCGCGCGGCCGACGCGCGAGAGCGCGGCCGACGCGCGAGAGTGGCCAGCATGGTTGAATGTGATGTGGATTGTGCCCCCCAGCACGCGCGCAAGGGCGTGCGAATGATTTCGGCATGCGGCGCCTGAGGCCCGTTTGGCAGAATTCCATGAAACGGTTGAAAAAAAGTAGTTTCCTCAAGCATTCGCAAGAGCGCGAGCGCACGCATTTTCTGAACACGGATGTTTCGAAACCGTGTATTTTTGATATGTTTGTTGGACACTCGGTTTTGACATCGTTGCGACATCAAATGTTTTGGACGGATTTCGGCATGCGCGCGCGACGACGCGCGCGCGTGCACTTCATCCCATCTGTTGCAAAGGGTTCTCGGGACGGCACGCGCGCAAGGGTATTCGAACGATTTCGACATGTGCGCGACGCCCAAACATATGAGCACATTTGGATTCCTTAAGAATTCGCAATAGCGCACGCGCGCAAACTTTTTTTGTTGAAATACGTGTTGCGAAACCGTTTATTTTTTATACGTTTTTTAAGCACTCGATGTTGAACCGCTACGCAACAGAAGGGTTTTGGAGGATTTCGGCATGCGCGCGCGGCAACGCGCGCATCTGCACTTCGTCCTGTTTTTTTCTGCTGGAAGGGATTTTGCAAAACTGATGATTTGTGATGCACGAGTGCGCGCGCATCCTTTTTTTGCAGAGGATGGCGGGGCCCCCTGGATGGTATGAGGTCGTAGTTCGGATGGACGATGGGGCAGAGCCATGTGTAAATTACAATGCGCGAGGCCGAATTGATGACCCCGGGGGTGGTTCTGGAGGTCGAGTATAAGGTCTTTCAACAGAGGAGAATCCATGTGGTGCGATGGGTTTTTATAGACGTGCTGACACATCTCATGCTCTTGCGAACGTCCCGCTCACCCAGCCGCAACTGGGTTTGCAAAATCCATGCGGCGGCGATTGCGATGAGTGCTTGGCGTTGGCTGGTGCATCTGCGGCCGCGCCGACCCAAGCCCGCGCGCGCAGCGGCCAGGCAGTTTGCCGCGACCGACGCGGCCGCGGTGGCGCTGACCGCTGCGCACATCCCAGCGAGCACTTAAGTGCGAGTCGGCGACTTGGGCGGGCGCGGTATCGTGGTAACGCCGGCAACGGTCGATGCGATGATGAGAGACGATGGCGCGGCCAGTGACGGCGCCGATGCTGATCGCGCCGACGACGATGCCGGCGCCCTCGCGCCGGGGATGAAGGTTTTGGAAGGTGTTCGATATTCGCGCGCGGCCGACGAACGAGAGTGGCCCGCGTGGTTCAATTTGGCACGGATCGTGCCCCCTCCCAGCGCGATCGCATGGGCGCGCGAATGATGTTGGCATGCGGCGCGAGAAGCCTGCTTGGCAGAAGTCCATGAACAGGTTAACAGCAACCGATGGTTTTCCTAAATATTCGCCAGAGCGTGAGCGCAAGCCTTTT